GTCAAGGCTAAGCTCACATTCCAATTTTTCTAAAATTTATCAAGAAGCAATACCTTACTGACAATGCCTGGGCTCGAGACCCCTGGTCTTACTATTTATCTTGTGGCACATAGGATTCTTAATGGCTTCAGCTGACAATAATGACATGAGGGGTAGAATAGTCAATGAACAATGATTTGAAAGTGTCTTGGGCTAATTCATGAAGTTGAGAAACTCATTGGCTTTTGAATCAAAGAATTTTGGCCAAAATATTGTTCTACCTTAAAAATGTTTAAGAATTAGTATAGTTAAATAAAAAGGAAGATAAATGATTGGCAAACATCTGACTTCAGAAGAAAGCTGAAAGTTTTGAATTATGCCTGACAGGAGTGGCTTATAATCTAATTGGTTGTACTTTGGTCATTGCCTATATCCAGCCCATAAGGAAAGCTCTCTTCTTCTGAAGAATCAGATCAATTATCAGCTGAATCACCCATTTATTTAGTAAATAAGTACCAAGTGTCTTCTTTTATTTTTTGAGAAAGGATTTCACTATGTAGTTCAGGCTGGTCTTGAACTCACTATGTAGCTCAGGCTGGCCTTAAACTTGTGGTGGCCCTCCTGCTTCAGCTTCCCAAGTGCTGGGATTGCAGGCATACACCATCATGCTTGGTTATATTGAGTGCCTTCTATGACTCAAGTAATATTGTTCTATGTTGTTCAGGAGCACAAAGGTTAGTAAGCACAGGTTAGTGAGCAGAAAAAAAAACCATGATAGTGAAACATATATAACAATAAGGGGGAGTGTGTTTAATGGAGTCCAAGAAAAAGCACTTAATCATAAAAAAATGTATTTCACTTTGGGGCTCATGTTTTGATCTCCCCCAGGGTAACTATAATCTCCTGGAAGGCAGAGATCATCTTTTACTTGTCTGCCTACCCTCACCCCAGCATCCAGATTAATCGCACATCAACCCATCACTAAATATTTGCTAATAGCTTGACTGACATATGAAATGAGGCTACAGAGATACAAAGTGTGTTTGCATCAATTTTTGCCTCTAAGGGAGGTTCTTGGTTGCCCATGTGTACCTTACCCCATCACTACCAATAAATAAAAATACTCAATGTACATTTTATACTTCCTAAATATATGAGTGGGGAGAACAAGAGGACTTCGAGTCTGCTGATGTCAAAATCTCCCTGATGGATGATGATTCTTCTCTGCTGACTGGCGGTACAACGGATAAAGAAGGGACTCAGGCTCTGCTCTTAATAGCTGCTACTTAGCCACTCAGGACCTCTCACTCTTCAACTTGGAACTAGATCACTGTTCTCCTCCACCTTACCCAGTAGACCTATTTTTGTTTTATAACTAGTTTGGGTGCAGGAGAAGATATAGTACCTAGCCTATTTATAAACGGATGGAATGTGGCCTGACTTCTCCCTATAGTTCTGTTGCTCCACAATAAATTTTCATTACCTACAGGGCTGTAGTCTTGGTGCATTTTCTCCTCAAAAACCAATCTGGGTAATAATAAACTACTTTTTGCATTTTCTATCAAGACAGCTCTTTGTGACTTCTAAATGTTCTGTCTAGATTCAAAGAAGCTAGTTTCTTCATGAGTAGTTGGAATAAGATTTCTTGGAAGCTACTGAATATGGATTAGTTTGGATTGTTTCACAGGAAATAAAAAGCAGGCTCTGGGGTGACTACTTCAACACTTAATTGGGTTAGCAAAGAAGTGCAAATGAGAGGTTTTCCTTAGGAGGGAAAAGATGTTTATAGCTCCCACCCCCTTAGGTGGTGGATTTTAACCTAAACACTAATCTTCAAATGCAGCTTTTAATTTAGGAACCATTACAAGAATCTATTAGAGCAGAAAATGTCAGGTTGAAAAATTAACACATCACATGGAGACCCCTCTAACAATCCAAAAGCTCTCTTATTGTACCTCTTTACTACTAGGAGGCTGGACCAAGGAAACGGCCCAGCACTCAGGCCAGAGACACTAGAGGGCCATGTCTGTACCTTAGGGTAACTAAAGGTCCTATTCAGAAGTCTATTTTTCCCCCCTCTCAGATATGCTATACATGCCACAGGGTAGATATGCCTCTGCCTGGAACTGCCTCAAGAAAGTTTTTTTGTAACAAAGGCAAACATGCCATGCCTGTCACCAGGGGCAGTTGTGGACTGTGTAAACCACTCCATGAGAGGGAGGCTGAGGGGCTCCACGCCATTCAGACTTAGCTCTTAGTTGTGGTCTTTGTTTTCTTTCTACATTCAGACTGAAATGTGATTCCCCTGGCTTTCTTTTTTGGAAAATACCTGTGATGAGTTCCATGCCTAGAAAGAAAAGCTGTTGACAGGAAAAGCCTTGGATGAGGAAGGGGGTTCTTCAAGTGTCTCAAAAAAGACAGTTGCTTCAAACATGCTGAGGCAGGGATACCAGACCTAGAATAAGAGGTCAGGATCATAAAGGGCTCATCTTTAACTATGGATTAGGCTGGGTGTTAAGCAGCTTCCTCTGTAAGAGTAGTACCATGCACACCGAGTTCAGGGCCAGGCAGATACACAGTTGAGTCCTTCTCTACTGCTTACTGTGTGATCTTAAGCAAATTGCTTGATCTCTCAGAACATGTTTTCTCAGGTTTTTGGGAGAATTAAATGAAGTAATGAATATAGGTCATGGTACACAGTGTCTAGTAAGGGTTCTGTATGAGTTCTCTGTAATTGGTTTGATAATAGTATATTTTTATCCATCACTAATGATGCCCCCACGTGTGAGAAATAGGCCCTCCTCCTCATCCTCAGGGAGTTCACTGTTTTATAAACTATGCATATCTACCTTCAGCACAAAGCACAGCCCCTCCCCACCCTGCTCTAAGAGAAAGGTCAACTGCACATCAACTTTACTTTGTTGAGCAGCTCAGAATACTGCACGTCATCCCCCTTTAAATAGCCCTCCAAATTCAGCTATCAAAGTTTACCCCAGATTTTCTCTGTGCATTTACCATACTGACTTATTGGAGTCAGTTTATTCTTTTATCTCCTCCTTTGTGGTCCTAGAGGATAGGGATCACCTATTTATTTAATCTATCCATCTCTGTAGCCCAAATGATTAACAGATCACTTGCTCTGTTCGTCTGATCATTTACTCATCTCTATCATGCATCACTGAGCGCAGGTACACAGAAGATTCAACCCTACTTCTGAGAACATTGATTTCTACTAGGAACACTTTCTGGGGAGATAATCTTGTCTTCCATCTTTGAATGGCTTCTGTTGGACCCTGGTTCGTTCATCCTGTTATTTTCTAACTATTACTTTTGTTCCAGGCTCAATTATCCAATCTTCTTAAGGGACTAACAGATCTTCCCTCACTGGAGGTGATGATAATGATTGAAGACAATACAGATTCTATGGGCCCATGCATTCTAGGTACAGAGCCAAAACCAAAAAACACTGATTCTTGTCCTCAGCCAAGTCTAGATGCCAATATATGAAAAGGAAACTTAAAAATACAAGACAAAATATAAGCACCACATGAATGGTACTTACATTTTTCCAACTAGTATCTAGCTTCCGCCGTGTGCTAGAGAACGAGCTGAAATAGAAGGAAACAAAAAGCCCCAGGGAAACAGTGGCAAGTGTTGGGGAGAAGAATCTTGAAAAGAGTAGAAATCCCTTACCCACATCCTCAGTCCTGGGTTATGGGAGATGTCTTTAGCATCAGGCTGGAAAGCAAGAGGTTGTCCTATAACTGACCTTCTCTAGTCGCAGCAAAACAAAACAATAGCCAAGTTATTCAGCATTTACTCTGTGCCAAACACTGCTAAATGACTTGTAAGCACCATCTCGTTTAACTCTTAAGAACTGTGTGAGGTAGACATGAATTTTCCTCAGAAGTTGGCCAGATGGCTAGTCTGAGCCCTAGAAAGGCACAAGAGCTTCACCACAGTCAAACAACAAGTAAAGGGTTTAGGAATTCACCTGCTGAGAGTTTCAGTGGCCCCTGGAAAGAGAAAGGGTGGACAAACTGCCTGGGGCTGGGAACGAGAGTGAGGAAAGTTAGATCGGAACCTAGGTTGCTAGCTTCCCAGGACACTACGCAGAAGCACAATAAGGAAGAAAGGGGGGCATGCTGCAGGGGAGGGGTGCCCGGGAGGCTTGGGAAGGGGCGTCCTGGTCACTGGGCGCCCCCCTCGCCCGTAGTGCCCAGGTCAAGCCCGCCCCTCCTGCCCTCTCACCCTCCCAACCTTATTTAGAAACAGTGTCCCCGAGGCAGGAAGGGCGGAGGGCCGAGAAGCACGGAGCGTCCCGGTCTCATTTCCTCTCGAATCCCCCTGTGGAATTCCATTTCATACGGTGAGGAAATCGGAGCGCGAGACTGCGGGCGGCCGGCTGCTCCGGGCGCCTCCCCCTCGGGCTGCAGCGCGGCAGCTCGGGCGCGGGGCCGGCGAGTGCGGGGCGGAGAAGGGAGCCGGGCTCCGGCCGTGAGAGCGGGGAGGGGAAACACCCCGTACCAGGCGCGGTGCTAAGCGTTTTATGCTTTATCTCTAATCCTCCCAAGTCACTTCACGGATGAGGAACTTGACGCTGAGAGGTTGGGCAATTTGCTCAAGGTCACACAGCCGGGATTGAAAGCCACCATCCGTGTAAATCCAAATCCCGTGTTCTTTTGTGTACGTTTTTCTGGTTGCTGGGGAGGTGACCAAGGGCCAAGGTGACATCTGGAAAGAGAAAGCCTCGATTAGGCAGCACGTCTCACCTGGGAGAGGAGGGGGCAGATTGGCTGGGGCCGGAGCTCCTGGGCTCCGTCGCCACCCAGCCCTAAACGCCTGGATCCGGGAGGGAGGAAGGCGAGCGACCCGGAGCTGAGAGGGGCGGGTCGCAGGGCGGGGCGGGGCACGGAGCGGGGCGGGGCGCAGAGCGGGGCGGGCCCGAGGAGGTGCCCGGCGCGGGCCTGACCCTTCCATCAGGAGAGCTACCCCGCCCCTCCGGCCCACGGCGCCCGCCCATTGGAGGGCCGCGCTGTCCGTCCGGCCCCGCCGCCGCCCAGCGAACCTCCAACGCCGCTTAGGACTCCGGCCGCGAAAGAGGCTAGGCGCTGAGGGCTGGCGGGCTTCTCCCGGGCGCACAGCAGGCTCGGCAGGCGCCAGGTTGTGGGCTCACTGCCTGCAGCCATGACCGTCCTGGTCTGCCCTCTGGCCTCTGTCCGGGGCGTCTAATTTCCCACACAGTCGCACTCCGCTGGTGGAGAGGCGGCCACTGCTCTCTCGTCGCCCTTGGCGCCTTATCACACTCCCTTTCCTGGAGCTGGGAGCAGCGTGGGCAGCCGGCGCCCCCGTGCAAACTGGGGTGTCTGCTGGAGGAGCCCCCGCCGCCGCCGCCCCCGCTGCCCCAGACCCTGGCCATGGCCTGGCCGGGCGCGGGGCCGGCCGCCCCCCGGGCGCCCGCAGGAAGTGTCGGGCTCAGTCTGGGGCTGCTGTTGCCGTTCCTGCTGCTTCTGGGTCCAGCGCAGGGCTTCGGGGACGAAGAGGAGCGGCGCTGCGACCCCATCCGCATCTCCATGTGCCAGAACCTCGGCTACAACGTGACCAAGATGCCCAACCTGGTGGGGCACGAGCTTCAGGCGGACGCTGAGTTGCAACTGACAACTTTCACGCCCCTCATCCAGTACGGCTGCTCCAGCCAGTTGCAGGTGGGCGACCCCGACCCCTGGCGGGACCCCTTGGGCAGGGACGCCCCAGACTCCCTCTGCGGAGCCCATGCCAAGTCGAGCGCCCTGTGCCCTTGCGAGCCGGAGGGGTACAACTCCCCCGAGAAGAGATTTCCATCCCTACCAGCATTTTGCAGTCCTTCTCAGGGACTGGAAGCCAAAACGTTGTGTAAGTCATCTGGCCTGAGAAAGAACCCGCTCTTACACCCCGCCCTTCCGTTTCTCTCCCCTGCCCACCCTTGCCTGGCCGAGCCCCTAACCCCAGTGGAGTTAGGGGTTATCTGCCAAGGATTCCGGCGGCCACCGCTGCTAGGTGGGCGAGTCCCCAGCAGGGCAGCCAGCTGCCGCTTAGACTTGGAAGGAGAGATAAGGAAGCAAAAACTTATTCTCCCTTTCCAGACCCTTACTGACCTCCTCTCTCCCCTTTCTCCTCTTTTTCTGGGGGCCGGGGGGAGGGGTGAGTTATTAAATAAAATACCACTGCTCAGTTTCTGCGGAACGGCCCCTCCGCGCATATTCCCGCTCGGTTTTAGAGGTCATTGCAAAAAGGAGTGATTAGATTGGTTTGATTTCTTTCTTATCCTCAGTGTTGAAGGCAGGTTTAGTGCTTGGAGGGAGAGAAAGGCTCCAGGAAAGTAGTTTGTATATCAGAAGGGGGTCCCCCCCCCAATTTTGTCATTAAATTATTTTAAAGCTTTACAATGTCTAATGATACAGAAATTGTTCTACAATAATAACTGAAGAAAGAAATTTGCATATACAGAGTGGTTATAATCTTGCAAAGACAGCCTATTCACCGGGGAGGGGGAGAGCTGAAAGGAAAATTTAAAAAATTAACATTGTGTTTTGATTGGTGAGGCTGAGGGATTTTTAGAAATTTAGAAAAGAGAGCAGTTTAAAAAAAAAAAAAAAAAGAGGTCAGTGTCCATGCTAAAAGCTTCAGAAATCTATGGTTCTGGCTCTAAGTTCTGAGAGATAAGAAACAGACATTCTGTTTACTTATTAGCTGCATGTTTTTACATAGGTCGTTTTAAAAGTTGGATTGTGGTTTTGGAAAGATGGTTGGGATTAGACCTGTTGCTGGTGAAATATCCCTTTGGAAGTTTCAGAACTTTAGAACTAGGTTATAAAAGCTTAAGAAACGATCTTGTAGCTCTCCGTTTGGAAGCAGCGCATATCCTGACATCAGTGGCAATTTTGTTGGAGAAACAGCTTTTGCAGGGATATATATTTTTAATTACATGTATCCTGGGGCAACAGCCAAGCTGTTTTGAAGGACAGGACTGGATCCCTTTACATGCTGGAAAATAGTTACTTGTAACTCTAGACTTCATAGACAACATCTGTAAGGAGCCAAGGAGACTGTTTATCAATGCTGGAGGAATTGAGGACAGCAACTGGACTCTCCCTTGCTAGTATTGCAGTTTCAGGGACTTAACATTTACATTTTCCTATTGTGTTTCATTATCATTCATTGAAGAAACCCTAGCCAAACAAACCCTCGTTGACCATTTGCAGCTCTTTCTTGGGTCTAATTGTGTCTCAGTACATTTTCTGTTCCAATATGGACTGATTTAAAATTTTTTTTAAAGAACATTAATGGAATCTATATTTTTTAAGATGATAAAGAAATGGGGCTTTAAAAAAAAAGCACCCCCTTAAATGAGTCATTTTACTAGACTCTTCAGCTCCTTCACATAGTAACTAAGACTGGGGTGATTACATATACCTTAAACCCAGAACTCTGGGAGGCTATGGCGAAAGGAGCACAGTTCTGAGCCCAGTGTGGGCAGTTTAGCAACTTGACACTGTCTCAAAAAAATTTTTGTTTAATTTTTATTACTTGTTTACATAATGATTACATTCATTTAGGGAATTAGTATATGTACATAACACATCAAAATTATTTTTTTTCCCCCTGTTCCCTCTACCCTCCTTTTGTTTTTTCCAGCATCAGATTCGCTTATTTTATCTTTACAAAGGGCTAGAGATGTAGCTCAGTGCAAAGATACTGGGTTCAATCTCCAGCACTGCAAATAGTAGCTAAAAGGGAAAGGAATTTGAAAGTTAGTTTTTAAAGGTTTATTTTTTTAATGGTTATATGAAAAAAGAGTATGTAATTCTTCAAACCCATTTATGTATGTATATATGTATGTTTCTCTGGGGATGATTACCAGAGCCATGCTAAGAAGAGTGTCTAACAGTGATAGATTATTAGTCACCCTTGTTGGAGGTTAGAGTAAACAGACAGACTCCCAGTAGGCTGATTTAAAAGCAGGTATGTACATTACCTAGAAGCATTCACTCAGCTTTGAGCAAGCATTTGGTCAAACTTTAAGTCATTGTTTTCTTTGTTCATTTCATTACTTTTCCAGTTCTTCCTTTGTTCGGTTTATGTGCCAATGTGCACAGAGAAGATCAACATCCCCATCGGCCCATGTGGTGGCATGTGTCTTTCAGTCAAAAGACGCTGTGAGCCTGTCCTGAAGGAATTTGGATTTGCCTGGCCAGAGAGCCTGAACTGCAGCAAATTTCCACCCCAGAATGACCACAACCACATGTGCATGGAAGGGCCAGGTGATGAAGAGGTGCCTTTACCTCACAAAACCCCCAGCCAGCCTGGGGAAGAGTGTCACTCCGTGGGAACCAATTCTGATCAGTACATCTGGGTAAAAAGGAGCCTGAACTGTGTTCTCAAGTGTGGCTACGATGCTGGTTTGTATAGCCGCTCGGCCAAGGAGTTCACTGACGTGTGGATGGCAGTCTGGGCCAGCCTGTGCTTCATCTCCACCACCTTCACTGTGCTGACCTTCCTGATTGATTCTTCCAGGTTTTCTTACCCCGAGCGCCCCATCATATTTCTGAGTATGTGCTATAATATTTATAGCATTGCTTATATTGTCAGGCTGACTGTAGGCCGGGAAAGGATATCCTGCGATTTTGAAGAGGCTGCAGAACCTGTTCTTATCCAAGAAGGACTTAAGAACACAGGATGTGCAATAATTTTCTTGCTGATGTACTTTTTTGGAATGGCCAGCTCCATTTGGTGGGTTATTTTGACACTTACTTGGTTTTTGGCAGCTGGACTCAAATGGGGTCACGAAGCCATTGAAATGCACAGCTCTTATTTCCACATTGCAGCCTGGGCCATCCCTGCAGTGAAAACCATTGTCATCTTGATTATGAGACTGGTGGATGCAGATGAACTAACTGGTTTGTGCTATGTTGGGAACCAAAACCTCGATGCCCTCACTGGCTTTGTGGTGGCTCCCCTCTTCACTTACTTGGTGATTGGAACTTTATTCATTGCTGCAGGTTTGGTGGCCTTATTCAAAATTCGATCAAATCTTCAAAAGGATGGGACAAAAACAGACAAGTTGGAAAGGCTGATGGTCAAGATTGGCGTCTTCTCAGTACTGTACACAGTTCCTGCAACTTGTGTAATTGCCTGTTACTTCTATGAAATCTCCAACTGGGCGCTCTTTCGGTATTCTGCAGATGACTCAAATATGGCAGTTGAAATGTTGAAAATTTTTATGTCTTTGCTGGTGGGTATCACTTCAGGAATGTGGATTTGGTCTGCCAAAACTCTTCACACATGGCAGAAGTGTTCCAACAGATTGGTGAATTCGGGGAAGGTAAAGAGAGAAAAGAGAGGGAATGGTTGGGTAAAGCCTGGGACAGGCAATGAAACTGTAGTATAAGTCTAGCTGTGATCTGTGCTTTCCTCATCTTGAAGAGGGGAATGCCAGCATTTCTATGGAAGTGCTACTAGAAGTTTGATGCAGTGAATCTCAGTTTGAACAAACTAGCAACACTCAAAAGCAACCCCCATCAATCTACCACCCATCACCCCTACCCAACATCATAAAAAACAGTGATTTTGCTGCAGACTTTGGAATGATCCAAAATGGAAAAGCCAGTTAGAGGCTTTCAAAGCTGTGAAAAATCAAAATGATCACTTTAGCAGGTCGCAGCTTAGAGCATGGAGGTCCTGCCTAGATTCCAGAAGTCCAGGGTGATGCTGTTTTTCCTTACAGGGTGGGATTTGAGCTGTGAGTTGGTAACTTGCAGAAAGAAAGATTAATTTTTTTAACCCTTTAAAATTTTAAATACTAACTAGATCTTTCAGATAGCAAAGTGATCTATAAACACTGGAAACGTGGCGTTCAGAGAAGTGTTACAAGAGTTTTATAGTTTGGCTGATCTAACATAAACATCTTTTGTGGTGCACTGTCTTCTGTTTAAAATTTTGTGGACTGCACTCCCAAGAGGTGGTGTCAAAATATTTCAGTGCCTTTGTCATAAAACAGAATTGTTTGAACAAACAAAGTACTGTTCTGACAAATACAAGGTATCCAGTGGATTTTTTTCTTCTCTCTCCTCCTCTCTTGAATTTCAACATCTCTGTTCTAGGCTGCTGCTGTTTTCATTTTACACTAATGACTCAAAAAAGGTATTTTTATAGGAATTTCTGCAATGCAGCATGCCTAATGAGGGGGAAAAGAAGGGTGATTCACTTTCTGACAATCACTTAATTCAGAGGAAAATGAGATTTACAAAGTTGACTTACCTTACCAACCCCAGAGACCTATTGCATTGAGCAATGGGGACTTAATATATTTTACTTTGTGTGATTGCATCTATGCAGACGCCAGTCTGGAAGAGCTGAAATGTTAAATTTCTTGGCAACTTTGCATTCACACAGATTAACTGTGTAATTTGTGTGTGTCAATTACAATTAAAAGCACATTCTTGGACCATGACATAATATACTCAACTGACTTTAAAACTATGGTCATCTTGGATTCTTAGACTGATAGTGCCTTTTTCCCCCTTAGCATAAGAATGTTATCAGAGTCTGGTCTACTTACCACACTGGAGACTTACTCATTTTTGTAAAAAGAACTAAGGACAGCTAAGCCAACTACTAGGTGCATAATTGTTCCCTAGTAATTGGCAAAGGCTCCTTATAAGATTTCATTGGAGGCAGTGTGGCCTGGAGTATTTATATGGTGCTTAATGAATCCCCAGAATGGCAGCCAGGAGCTGGATTGGTTAGCAGGGAATAAAGTGTAGACCATATGAAATGAACTGCAAAATGTAACAGCACAGGTCTTAATTGCGTTATGTGGAAGTATCCAAAGCCTTTAAAATTTATGCTTTAATTTCTCTGCAAGGGGGTACCCCCTAGCAGCCTATCAAAAGATGCAGTTCTTTTAAACTTGTAGCTGGCCTTTTTCTTAATCTGCCTTAGGCATTCTAATCACCAGATCTCTGGGACAATTTGTTGTCAATGTCACAGGTTGCTCTCCTTGTAACTCATACCTGTCTTTGCTTCAGCAACTGCTTCAAAGTGACTCATTATTTATTAATTCATGCCTTTTTAAAAATAGGTAGGAAAACTTTTTTTTCTTTTTGTGGAGAACCCTTTCCAGAGTCTCAAAATTCCAAATAGGTGATCCCATTGTGGAAATAAGCATGTCTTTTTATTTTGGTTTAAGCTTTATGCCCATAGTTTGACATTTTCCATCCTTCTTTCCTCTTGTTTTTACATGTTTTTGAGCTGTCCACAATCAAGATACATATAAGGTCCATTGCATGGTTTGTAAGGGAGGGTCCTGGGGCTTTTGAAATAGAAGCTGAGCCTGGGTGGCCCCTGCTCCTTTGTGCAGTTGACTCTGGGTTAGGGGTCCAGGAACACGAGAACTGATCACTGGAAGGACCAGTTTAACTCTATTTGAGGCTGCGTTGCCCACAAAATTTAAAATGTGAACTCCTCATGCTGCTTGCAAATGGTTCCCATAGCTGTTCAGGGCCCTGGAGCATGCACCCAGGGCCAGAGTCTGCCCTTACTCACGCTCCGCCCTGGTGTCTTGGGAGTTGTGTGTAGAGTTTGGCCCAGGAAAGGGAAGGAGGATCATGCAGTGACTGAGTGCCCTTGCTGTTAGAGTATAGGGGTTTGTAATGCAATTCCTTGTAATGTTCCAGTGATTGTATGACCAAGGCAGTGCCTAGCAGAGGGCTGGGCATGGAGTAGGCATTGATTAAATAATATAACAACAGAAGAATAATTTGTTGAATCTGGACACCTAAGTTCTTGGAGCGAGTGCCATGACAATTTTGGGGGTTTCACTTCTGATCCACAGATCTATTGCCTTTTCTGGGAAAGGTACATTTGATTAGAAGTGGATGTTGGTACAGACTGGATTAGTAGCCTTAGCAATGCCACAGTGTTATCGGCCTTTCTTTCACATTCCAGCCAATGGAGAGTGTTTACAGTTTCAAGAAAGGAACTTTGTGGCTGAGGAGTTAGTTTCCAGTGTCCTTCAAGCAACTCTGTTCTGTTAAATTGATATTTAGTTTTGAAAACCAAAAGTCAATTATCATTTCATGTACTGACTGCCCACTGTGTGTAAAACCCTGTGTTAGGTGCCTTAGGGATGCCACGGAAGGTAAGCTCTGGTCTAATGGATGTAGGACAGAGATGCCCCTGGGTATGCTTAGCTTCTGGTTTCCTGAAGGTGTAGAGACCTCTGGAATTCAAATCAGTCTCACTGTATCTTTTCCACAGACCTCTTTCTGGGTCTCTGTACCTTTAACAGATCTTTCATCCTTTCCCAGGATTCCTTCTAAATCAGTTACAGGGGTTGTGACAGAAAAGCTCTGCTTCATGACAATCTCTGTGGAAGTCCCTAGGAAGACTGAGAACAGGATACATGGAAACAAGTTCCTACACCTACTATAGCTTTGTGGATAGGCAGGTTGTGTTTCAGTTATTCCTTGTGACTTGTACAGGCATATTTGAAGACAGTGTCTAACTTGGAAAAAGTTAGGTTGGTTTTTCTTTTTCCTCTAAAATCTAGAATAAAGAGGTCTGGTTGTAGCTTTTACAAAACTCTCTTGCCTCCAGAGATTTTATTAAACTGGACCAAGGGCACCTCAGTCCAACCTCCTCTCTGGCAGACTTTTTTCCTGCTTCATAAAGTTCAAACCTCAAAACAGAAGAACATGAGGTGGAATTGGCCAGAACTATCTGGTTACGCTATTTGATTCATATCCGTCTTCCTTTATGGAGCCCCATTTCCTGATTGTTGATTCTACTTCCAGGCTGGCAGCTTGCTCAGGACCCTGAAACTGGAGAAAGGGTGATACTTTTCATTTCTCTGAGATGCTTGTTGATTTTTATTTCTTTCTTTCTTGTGTCACTCCCTTACCTGCATTCCCCAGAAACAGAATCTGGAAAACCTCTGTATTAGATTCTGCATTGTGATTCTATTGAGCACTCCCAGCTCTGAACTCCCTGGCTCCTTTGGCTTCCTGGTCATGGAATTAAGTTGTTTCTTTTTATGTTGAGAACCAAGCTGGTACCTGGGGACTCGAGGAGGAACTCAGCATCTGCAGCCCAAGGGGGACAGGCTCATTTAAAGGGATTTCACCAGGATGGTGTGATCTTGGCTTCTGATCAGGTAACTACAGCAGCAGTTACAAAAGGGAACTGGAGAGCACAGACTTTGGAAGGAACCTCTTAAAATCAGACTACATCTTGAATTTCATTCTTGTGATACAGGGAACTGGAAAGAGTTACTCTTCTAGCCAGTCAAGTCCCGGGACTCTGATAATTTTCTTTGTTCCTTTATTGCGTTTGAGTTCAGAGTCCATGTCTGGGTTTGCATTGTGTCCGGCAAAGGATCTGGGTTATCATTTTTCTTCTGTGGCTAGGTCATAGATCTTGGAAACTCCTGAGACAGTATTGTTCTCCGACCAAGGATCAGATACTAGAACCTTAAATAATGGATTTTGTTTCACTGTAGCCTGGATAAAGCTCTCTGCTGCTGCCTATTGCCATGCAAATGTGGAATAATGGCACGCTTGACAGTACTGGGATGGAAGTGAACCATGGATCCCACTGACATGCCTCTTCCCCTGGTAAGCCTAGTTGGCCCCATAGTGGCTTGTTTGTTTCTTATTTACCTTATTTCACCTCTTTGTATCAGATTCCTAATATTCACCCAAGCAGTTTGTAGAGGACCTTTTTGGGATCCCATATGAGCCATGTCCTCAAAACCTTTGTACCTCTTTTTGTTTCCTGCAATATTCAGTACATGACCACTGTCATTCCAGAAAGCTTCTGAAAGGAGGGTTGAGAGCAGTTCTACCCCACAAAGTTTGGGTCTATCTTCCCTCTCAGGTTGTTAAAAATTCCCAGTCCTGTTCATGGGCCCTGACTTCATTGTGGGTTTTAGGAGGAGCGGGCTGCTTTCTCCATCTCTCCCAGTGGGGCATACAGATGGTTCTGAGTTTTTCTACCTCACAGGGATGTTGTGAGGCTTTAGAAAGTCTAAAGATGAAGGCCTCTTGAGCTCTTCATAAGAAAAGTGGACTCAGGTGCAGTCTTCAAAAAGGTCAAATAAGACTCAGCCTGCATTCTGTGGTGGTCAAGCTAGTTGCTCCCTGGCCTTTTCTTGGTTCCTCGCACCACCCCATAGCTCCAGAAACCTGGAGGCCAACCTGGGGGACTTTCTGATGTTCAATATAGAGGTACCAGGCAAATTCCTGTACACATGCCCTGAATGAATTGCTGAATTTCAAAGGGAAAAGACCCTGCTTTTAAGGATGTACAAAAGTATGTCTGCATTGATGTCTGTACTGTAAATTTCTAATTTATCACTGTACAAAAAAAACCCCTTACTATTTAATTTTTGTATTAAAGGAAAATAAAGTTTTGTTTATTAACTGAGGTGTGATTTGGCTTATTTCTGGACGTATAGGATAACCCCTCAGAAGCATATATGCCTGGCAGTGAGAAAGAGGGGATTCAGTTTGCATGGAAGATTGAAAAATACTTTCTTGGAGCCTCTTTGTTTATTTTCACTGGTGCTATTTTTCCTCTCTGGGATCTCTTCTGGGTTAGCAACCCCCTACAATCCAAGATCAACTGAATTTATCACTACTGTGGTCATCAGTAGCACTCAAGTAGATTACAGGATGCTTTGGATGTAACTATAGCTCTCCAGCTGTTATCCCCATGACACCTCTTTTTGGCATTTCTAGGGGTGACCATCTTTACCTATTAAGTCCCATTAACTTAATCTGGTGGCACGGCAACATTTTCTCATTACCGCTAGAGCTTCAGGCCTTTTGAAAAGAGAAAGGGGATTTTTTAAAACATTAAATTTTTTATCTTTTTTTTTTCTGGCTACAAAAATAGTTCACACAATAGTTCTATTTTGTGTAATAAAATTTTTTTATCTTTTTTTTTCTGGCTACAAAATAGTTCTATTTTGTGTAATAGACATAGGAGTACGTTACATCAGTCAGTTGGAAAATGTCTTCTTTAGCTAATTTTATAAATTGGGTGGTCTATGTCCTCATATCCAGAAAAGTTATCAGACAAAGCAAATTCAAAGCAATTATCAGGACATTGTAATGAAGTCCAATAATATTATGAACCACACAGAGAGGAGAGCTACTGCCATTGGAGATGTCTGCCGATGTCCTGGATGAGAACAGCCCCCTTAGTTTGCTTTTAAATTTCTTTCCACCCTTTAACTTCACTTGAATACCACTCAGTTTTAAGGTGAGTAAAAAGTCCAGTGTACAAGGATTTGCAATACTACTCTCCTTATCTGCAGATTGCTATTGTACTTTTATCTCAAACCTTAAATGAAAGGAGGCATGTAATTTAAATTCTCTTCCCTATAAGACAGGCTATGTTTCTCATTCTATTACCTACTCATTAAGTAGTTATGAAGTTACGGACAAGTCAACACAATCTGGGATGAATTCATAGTAATCCCTTGCACTTGTAGAAACACTTTCCCAATAGAAAATACTTACATGATTTTACTTTATTCTCACGACATTTCTGAAGTAAGCAGGGCAAGCATTGCCTTCCTCCAGACGTACAGAGGGCAAGGGGAACACAACAGGGAGACAGGAAGGTGGATGGCCAGATCTCATGCCTCGCTCAGGGTTTGTGTGTGTTTTCATTTTACATAGGTTTTCTTTTTGCTTTCATTTCACATTCCTATGGGTTCACTTTGTGTCTTCCAAAAGATATGTTGAAGTCCTAACCCCCAGTACCTGTGAATGTGACCTTACTTGGAAATAGGGTCTTTTCAATGTAATTAAATTAAAATGAGTTCATATTAGGTTAGAGGGGTCCCTTTCCAATAGGGTATCCATCTATGAAGGAGAAAATGTTGATACAGACAGAAGAAAATCCCATGTGAAGGCAGAGCTGAAGTTGTACAGTGGCAGGCCATGCAGGAAACACCAAGTATTGCTGCGAACCTCCCAAAGCTAGAAGAGAGCCATGGGGGATTCTTCCTCAGAGCCTCCAGAAGGAACCAACCTTGCTTTCAGACTTCTAGCCTTCAGAACTGCATGAGAATAAGTTTCTGTTGTCTTAAGCCACCCAGTATGTGATAATTTGTTATGGATGCCCTAGGGAACAAATGCACACTCCAGCCCCCTGATTTCTTTACTACAAAATAGTTCATTGAATGTAGATAAGTGCTTTGCCAGCTCTTATCTCTCAATAGTGAGAGCTGGCCTTGAGCTTCTGTTTTTTAAGATTATGTAGCATAATCACTATAGCAAATATATTTCTCTGTAAACTGGTCACCTATAGTGTAAACCTCATGATCCTTTGACCCTCAACTGGTCCAAACTGGTCTTGGCTGATCTCCTACCCATCCACCCGCAATGGGAGCTCTGTGTGCAGGGGCAGGACCCTAACTGGAATGCAGCTCAAGAGTTTTTAGCATTTCTGTCCTGAGAACTGATTTTTTCTCTTTCCCATTTTAGCTTTCACATGAAATCATAATTTTAAAGTTGAGATGACTCCTGACTAAAGAGGTCAACCTTGGCCTCCTGTTTTTAGAGGTTCTGTGAACAGAAATAAACCACACTGGGAGAAGGGCTTGATCCTTTCCTCAGTTTTCTTTTGCAATACAGCTGAGTTGGTAGGACTGGGAGGATATTATTAAATATTCTGGAAATACATTGGATTTGCAAAGATTTAGTCCAAAAGGCTTTCTAAATGGGCTGTGGTATTACCCGGAATGCCTAGAGCTACCCTGTCCTATTCCTTTAGCCTCCTCATCCTAGGATGGCCCATTGATCAATCCATTCAGCCTTCATGGCAAAAGATTCCAACTTCTCTGTTTTCCACAGGGAGAAAACTGAAAAAATCAAATGTTACATTTCCCATCAATTGGCTGATTTTCATCAACTTCCTTCATGGCCTCCTATCAGCACCTAGGGGAAGTTTTAAATTCTACCCTCTGAAGAAATTTATACTGTGAAAAAACAGTATATTATATGCCTAAGCACATAAAGCAGGGGTGGGGAGCAAAGTGGCTGAGTTTAACCACAAGATAGGGGCTTGGGCTTGTGCAGGGAAGGCTACGGGAGGCTGTGGAGGAGAAGGCACACAGTGAGAAAGGGTTGCCTTCTTAATGTGTATAAAGTCTCCCATGTAACAGCCACCTGTGGTGATTTCTGACCAGGCCAGGAAGGTCAGACCCCTAACCTCTTCTTCCTGAAGGAATCTTTGCTAGGTGGGAAGCAGGGAAGGATATCAAAAAGAAAAGGCTGTGTGGAAATCAGTATGGAGATACCTCAAAGAACTAGGACTAGAGGTCCCATTTGACCCAGCTATTCCCCTGCTGGGGATCTTCCCCAAAGAATTAAAAGAATCATGCCACAGCGATATATGTGCACCTATGTTCATAGCAGCACAGTTTGTAATAGCTAAAGCTTGGAAACAGCCCAAGTGCCCATCAACTGGAAACTGGATAAAGAAGATGTGGTTTTTTAATAAAATGGAGTACTACTCAGCCATAAAGAACAACAAACTAGAGACATTTATAGCTAAATGGATGCATATTGAGGCCACACTCTTAAGTGAAATAAATAGGACATACATATGTAAATACCAGATAGTTTCTCTGGTGTGAGAAACTGAAAGTGTAAATAAGGATTAAAATGATTAAAATGAATAATTGATAATTTGAAATAGGAAGAAAAGGTCCAAAGGGGTAGGGGAAGTGGGAGGAGTAGGGAAAAGGAAAGAAGGGGAAGGAAAAATTATGAGAAAAGGAAAAAATAGAAACAAGGTTTTTGTAAATAGGGAAGGGTGGAGGGGGTGAAGGGAGCACAAGGAATGGGGAGAAAATAAGAACCAAGATGCATCATGTGCAGGTACAAACACCCAGTGATAAATGTAACTGTACTGTATACCTAAAATGCATCAATAGAAATTAAGGAAAAAGAAAAGAAAAGAAAAGGCTGTGCCTGCCTCTGCTGTCTTCTAATGTAGATGTAAATTTCTTTTCCCAAAGATTAGCTTTTCAGAACCACTCTTGTTTGCAAAGGTCTACAATTTCCCTGAATAACCAACTTGAACTATGCCAAAGAAGTACACTTGGGGTGGTATATTTTTTATCTCCCTCACATCCAATCTTGTTTTCCCCTAAGAATATTCTTAATCTTACAGCTAGCCCAAATTGTCAATGACTTTCTACTTAAGAGATGAAATGATTGGCTATGTAAACTTTCCTAAAGTGCCTGAGGAGTGCATCAAGTCAGTTGCTATGTGGTAAAAATGCATAGAGTATAAAGCCAAGAGATGGAATTGATAAGTAACATAGGAAAACTTGTCCTAGTATCTCCTAGTTTTAGCATTTTTCTCATTTTCATTTTCCTCTCATACTTGCCTTTGGATTTTGTTTTGTTTTGAAGAGAGGGTCTCACTGTATTTCTATGGTTGATCTCAAACTCAATTGCTCAAGCAGTTCTCCTGCCTCAGCCTCCCCAGTTGTCTGTGTGTGTGGTCTGTGTGTGTGTGCGTGTGTGTGTGTGAGTGTGTGTATGTGTTCCTTTTGCCTAAAAAGCTCTTTCCATCTTTCTTCAGCTAGGTTATGTCTGTTTTTCCTTCACAACTATAGTCTATGACACTTCTCCTGGGAAGACTTCCTGGATCTTCCTGTTTGCAACTTCCTGCCTCCCTTTCCAGTTCACTATTGGTCACTTTAAGCTTCTGTGCCTTCAACTCTGGAAGCCTTTGTGCCTGTTTGCAACAGTCCATGGCTGCATCCCTTTCCCCACTAGGCTGAGCTCCTTGAGCATGGCTCCAGTCACCCAGTTTGCCTCTCTGTACCCTCAGAGCCTAGCACATTTCCTGGAACATTTGTGGAAGGAAGGAAGGGAGGGAGAAAGAGAATGGGAAAAAAGAGGAATGTATTAAGGAAAGAAAGAAAGAAAGGAAGGAAGGAAGGAAGGAAGGAAGGAAGGAAGGAAGGAGGGAGATGATTGCCTTATTTGGTGAGAACTGAGGAACTGAAAGCCTGTGTGACAAATGTGGCCAGCAAAGAAAGGAAACCAAAGGTGACAAGAACCATCTCATCAGCACTCCTTTCTGGAAAAATGCTAGGGCACTGGCTGCAGGAAACTTTTTAGCTTCAAAGGTGGATTAGAGAATGATCACCCATTCCTCTGTGTTGCCTGTTGTGATTGTCTCTCCCTTTTTTCTCCTCTTCCTTCCTCTAACAAATGCAAATGCTGAGAGTCTACTCCATGCACAACACTGGAGTGGGAGGGGAGGCAGAAGAAGAGAGAGAGTGATTTAAAACAAGACAAAGGAAACAAACTTGAGCCAGGCATGGTGGTACACCTATGATCTCAGCACTTTGGAAGGCTGAGGTATGAGGATCTCAAGTTTGAGCCCAGCCT